AAATCAGGTTTTACATGTTATTGAGATTAAGTAAAGTCAGCAAATTTCCTCTATCATTTCGATGTCAGTTTGAAGTATGGCATGTTTGAAGACGTTCAGAAATTTCACTCTTCCTCAAGCAGTTTGGTTTTTAACTGAGACCTTTTAATTTGTCCCGGTTTCGAAATCTCCTCTATGCAAATGTGTCCTCTGGTCATTGGCTAAACTGGAAAACCTCATTATGTTTATAGGAGAATAAAATATTCTAGTAGAACCAATGAGTGCTGATCTCATTTGCATTAAAAGGTAACGCAAGAGGCTTTTAAGGAAAGGAAAGGAGAAGATCTGAAGAAGGTGAAAATTTTCTATCCTAGAAGGACATTCCTTGGCCAAAGTTGACCATGGTCTGGTCTGTGTTCTTCCTTGCACTCCTCATTTACTGCACAGGTAACATTTTTCCTTGTCCGAGAGAGGATTTGGTTGATGGATTCTCAGAACTTGGTCAATGCAAAGGAAGACGCATCAGTTTAACAATGTTTCTTTCCTTTTCTCTCTCCACTCTTTCTCTCCCTGCCCCAACTCTTGGAAGGCATTGATGGTCAGTCCACTTGGACTCAGCCTCCCTCCAGCTCTGTGTCCCCAGGTGGAACCGTTACTCTTTCTTGTTCAACCACTCACAGTTCCTACTACATTAGCTGGTATCAACAGAAAGCAGGAGAAGGCCCTCGTTTTGTCCACTGTGAAGGATGCAGCAGGGGAGAAGGGATCCCTGATCGGTTCACCGCCACCAGATCTGGGAATACAGGATCTTTGACCATCACCAATGCAGAGGCTGGAGACGAGGCAGATTATTACTGTGGCAACTGGAACAGTGCAGCTACTGCGTTACACAGTGGTACATTCTTATGGGGAAGTGTGACAAAAACCTCCTCACTCCATCTTCAGCCTGAAACCACAAGTAGCAACCCTTGAATCTGTGTCTGGGGACACCTGAACTGAAGATGAAGGCGAGAAAGAGCTATAAGTTGATTTCCATCTTGAGAGGATTTGCTCCGTCTCTTCCACGGAGGTGAAAGGCACCGGAGAGAAGTTCATGGAAAGCAAACAGCCCCATGGCTCTTGTTTTCTGACCAGAAACTGTGAAAGGAACCGATGAAAAATTGGAGAAGGAAGAGATCATTTTCAGCTCTTTAGTACTGAAAGGGAGAAGGATAAATGGAATGGTAGAAGGACACAGCATGGAAAAGTGGTCCCAAGAGCAGGTTTGTGGCATGAGGAATTGTCGCAAAGACCCTCACTCTTCCCTTTCGGCCTGAACCAAGAAGCAATCCAACTTGATCTATGACTGGAAACCCTTAAACTGGGAAGGCAGAAGCAGAACCCCTGAAGGTTCATCCCATTTTGCAAAGATGTCTCAAAATGCCCAGCCTTGTGGAAAGATGGGCANGGGAAGGGAAAAGGGGGAAAGAATTGTTCTAAATGTCAAAAGAGAACACATATTATTAATAATGGTAATGAGATTGTGTATTTGTGAATGGGTGTATGAGAAATACGAATAAAAACCTTTTCAAAAATAAAGAGAAATGGGGCTCTCAGTCTCCTCCACAGGGGTAATAGGCACAGGAGAGAGGAGTTCAAGGGAAGCAAACTGCCCCCTGGTCACAGGGTCTTGTGGTCTGAACAGAAACACTGAAAGATGAAAAATCGGAGAAGGTAGAGATGGTTTTCAGCTGCTTCAGTACTGAACAGGAAGATGGATAAAGGCAATTGTCAAAGGACACAGCATGGAAAATTGGTCCCTGGGGCAGGTTTGTGGCATGAGGAACTATGACAAAAAAAACCTCACTCTTCCTCTTTGGCCTGAACCAAGAAGCAACCCAACTTGATCTACGGCTGGAGACTCTTGAACTGGGAAGACACAAGAAGAATCCCTGCAGAGCAAAGACATCTCAAAATGCCCAGCATTGGGGAAGGATGGGCACAGGAGTGTGGGCGAGAAGGGTACAGGGGAGCTGACGGACTCATTGTCTCAGCCCTTCACCCTGAGCTGTGAGTTCTAATTTTGAAAGAAGAAGATATCAAATTGTAGAAGCTAGAGATGATAGTCAGATGGTTCGACACTAGTTGGGAGATGGAGAAATAAGGAATTGTATGAAGACACAGGCTAAAAAAATGGTCCATGGGAGAAGTGTGCCCCATGCCTGTAGGATGTATGGATGAAGAGTTGACACTCGAGTGTGGTTCTTCTACATTAGATTATGAGCTGAACCAACCACGTACTAAATGAAATGAATCAGCCACCCAAAACATGAAATTCATCTGAGCAGCATGGACCTCCTTTTCCTCAAACTCAAGGACACTACTATAATCAAGAAGGAGAAACCCATAGAAGGACAATGCCACAGATGTATATATAATGTCTACAGAAAATGACTTTCTTGAAATCAAAGTATGAAAAGTATGAGAATTTTTAAAGCAGGCAGTTTCTTGTTCTCCTTCCCCTTAATTTTCTCTGTCTTCTTTTTCTGATTTTTAAACAGAAGGAAGAGATGGTCCTCTAGGGACATAAAACTGCTGCATTTCTTCAGCCCAGATTGGGATAACACAGATGTCACAATATCAGTGGCCAGTAGGGGCTGCTGATGTCCTTTCGTAGTTCTCCAAAGAATGACTGCAGCCAAACCTGGTGAGATGTGACTCCTGAAATGTCTCCTTTCTTCTTTACAGTGAGGAAGGCGCTGGTCCCTCCCAGAACACCTGAAATAGGCAGGATAAAAGGAAAAGGTTGGGACCACCAATTCTGCTTCTGGCGGCTTCTTCCAAATATTAATAAAAAACAGAATATGGGGATTTCTGCTGACCACCTTAGCCCATATGTCCAAGTGGAGGATGGGGCTCCTCTTTTTCCCTAGTCTGGGGGTTCTACACACTGTTGAGATTAAGTAGAGTTGCAGAATTTCATTGTATCCTTTCCATGTCAATTTCACATATAAAGAAGCATGTTTGAAGAAATTGGGAAGTTTTCCTGTTCTACAAGCAGCACACTTTCTTTTTTAATTGAGACCTTTAAATTCCTTCCAGTTTCCAAATCTCTTCTATGCAAATGTTTCCTCTGATGATTGGTTAAACCAGAGGACCTCAAAATGCTTTTGTGTAAGAAAGTTTTCTAGGAGGACCAATGAGGGCAGATCTCATTTGCATGGAAGGAGAAAGCAAGGGGCATTTAAGGAAAGGAAAGGAGAAGATCTGAAGAAGCACATAATTCTCTTTCCTAAAAAAGGACATTCCTTGCCAAAGTTGACCATGGGTTGGGCTGTGATTTTCTTAGCTTTCCTCACTTACTGCACAGGTAAAGTTTTCCTGGGCCAAGAGAGGATTTGGCTGTGATTCTCATAAGAAAAGGGTCACATGGAAATGGTTCAGAGGGAATGATGGTGCATCAGTTTAACAGTATTACTTTCTTTTTCTTCCCTCACTCTTTTCC